GCTTGAGGGATAGATAGTAGGTAAGTTGTTGCTCGCGTGTCGGACGGTAGACCAGAGTGTCGCAGTAGAAAGTGTAGAGGCGACATTGCGTACCCAGGGTGCTGTAAGACATGGCCTATGATATATGTGTATATATGCGGCGAAGGCTGTAGGCATGCATGGCTTTGGTCGAGTCTACGCAAAAACAAAACCAATTGAGTTGTTCACTCAGCTCGTTCCCCTGCCTCTCCCACGCGGCAGGCCACGCCCAATCCCACTGCCAGCACGGCCTTTTGTCGAGTCACCACGACTGACACCTCGTCCAGCCTGCCCACCGACCCCGACATAGTTTCCACTGGCTGATGTCGATGCACCTCGTGGCCGTGTGCCCCTCCCCCTGCCTCTTGTACCAGTCTTGGGCGCGGCTTCAGCCTTTCGACGCTCTTCCTCGGCTTGCCTAGCAGCAGCATCCCTCCTAGCCTGTTCTTCCGCCGCACGACGCTGTACAGCTTGTTGGCGGTGCGACTCCTCTTCCTCGATGTCGGCAAGATCCTGCGAAGCGCCCTGCCACTGTGGGTTCAGGATCAACCTCTGGTTATGTTCTGTCTGCGAGAGGATGCGCGTCCATGTCTGTAATAGTGTGGACGCGTTTTGGACAGTGCGAGAGACAGTCTAGTCTTTCATCAGCCAGAATCACATCAAAACCAATGCATCGCCACACAAATGTCACCTACAGCCATGTTATCTTTTGCTTTTTGCAGGCTCTCCACCACGCCTTCTATGACCTTGTTGACATTGCGTATGCTCTCGAGCTCTCTGCGCAGTGCCACTTCGCGTGCTTCTTCTGCTGTGTAGTGCGACTCTTTTGCACGTGTCTTTGCGCCTGTTGCAGCTTCTGCTGCCTTTGTGTCTGCATCCTGCGTGTTCTTCTTGTTCTCACGCGCGGCAGGGGTGTCGAAGAGGGCGTCGGAATCAGAGTCGGAAAGGTGCAAGGCTCCCATATTGGGTGGATCCATGGTGGCAAGAGTGAAAACTATATGTATATGTTGCTGTTCTGGACACTTTATTGGTGTTTGTCCCACCTATTTGAATTTGGACCAGATCAGGCTGCTTAGTGCTGGCATGGGTGGGTGTTTTTGACGTGTTTGACTTGACGTGTTTGACGTGTTTTGGTGGGGGGAGGGGGGGGAATCAAAAAGAAAAGGGAGTAAAAGAAAAAAATAAAATAAAATAAAATGAAATAAAAATATATAAATAAATTAGAATTAATAAGAAAAATAAAATAGATAAAAAAAATTATATTATAAAATTTAATTAAAATATAAATAAATAAGAGAGTTTATAGAGAAATTAGAGAAGTAGATTTGAATATAATGATATGAAAATTTGTGTATT